TAAAATATAGAACGCCTATTATTTGACGCAAAGACTGCACAGAATACTTAGTAATAACAGTAATTAGTCAAAATTAAACTTCTATCCAATAATAAAACATCCATAGTAAAAAAAAAAGCAAACAAGTAATCTTGACGCACCTGCGATAATACGAAGGCATTTTAGTGCACGAATATGCCTTTCAAAAACTAAGCAAAGTTTGAAGAAAGAGGAAAATATCTGTATTAACAGAGAAAAGAGTACAGAACAGTTACGTAATATCAGTCCTTTTATAATGCCAGTGAATGTTGTACAACCTCTTCACAGATAGAGAAGAAACTTAAAGCAACAGAAACAAAGAAAAGAGTACTGAACTGTCACGTAATATTAGTGAATGCTGGACAATCTCCTCACAGATGGAGAAAAGACTTGATGCAACAGAAATGTGGTTCTACATATGGATTCTGAGAATACCATGAATGAACATCTAAATATTTACAATTAATTAAATGTTATGGTCCGATTTCTTCTACCACGGTGATAGTCCAAGTTAGAACCAATAAAGAAGAACTCGAACACAGGTATGGAATAACACAGATATATTACAAACAGGAATATATACAGAGAAGTAGAAAGAGTTAGTACGAACAATCAGGTTTAGTAGTAATTGTCTGAACGCGACTCTGTTTCGGACTGCCTCTGACTCGACTGACTGACTCGACGCTCTGACTGACTGACAGACTCCAGACGAACCTCACTCCAGACTTCAGACTGAACGGTATTTCGTCACCCTCCCACGAGGGCATCATGTGGCACAAGGCCGGTTTAACGTGGGATCTCCGAGCCCGTGGGATCTCCGAGCCCGTGGGCTCGGCCAAAAATATGCCTTTTGAACTAGTATCAACGTCTTCAGGGTCGGTTTACCTCCCCGAAAGAGACTCCGCCCTTCGGCGTAGCCTCGTTCGGGTTCCTCCCCGCCCGAAGACAGAGAATTCAACCGATCAGCCGATCAGCCGGTCGCCCGGCTTCGGACTGAACTCCCTGCTTCCTATTGAGGCGCAGTATTTATTATGTATGGAATGGTCCATTATGTTATTATGGGTAAGGTCCCCTAACAGTAATCATGAACATAGTATTTTAAATAGCGAGTGAAGAATACAGAAAGTGCGTGCGTCTGTGTGTGAGCGTGTGAGTGTGTCAGAGAGGGAGAGAGACAAACGATCTTGGAAACATATCAATTGACCTGGACAGTAGTAGTTTTTTTCAATCATAGAATTTCATATTTTGAACTTAATGCGGATCGATTTTACTCTATTAATTGGGCTATAATTTTAGTCCATATCAGTTTAACTGAAAAACCCATACAACAACAAATAAAAATGTGTATTTAGCACATTACTAAGCTGAAGCAAAATTCTCACTTGAAATATATAAACAAGACTCTAGCGTTACGACATTGCACGGACCAAAATTATATAACTGTCAATAAATAACATTTTAAAAAAAAAACATGTTTCGGTCTATGCGATATTTATTTCGTCTTGGAGGATCGCGTTATTCACTGAATTGCTAGTAAATTAATGAATTATTAAGTCTTGTTAGCGAAGAGATTTCTCCATTGATTACATTAACATTGCTAATTAATTCTTTGTATAATTACCTCTTTATTATATATATATATATATATATATATATATATATATATATAAGGCCCAAACACTAATATTCTATGTATATAATTTATTACATTGGAATCGTCATCACGATTCAATTCATCAGACCTACAAATTCAAAATTCATCTAATGTAATAAATTATAACCATGGAATATTACTGTTTTGACATTGAGCTCTACCAGGATTCTATCCTCTTGGAAATTTATATATATATATATATATATATATATATATATATATACTGAACACTAATGTTATCAATATATATATATATATATATATATATATATATATATATATATATATATATATATATATATATATATATAATATGTGTTTGCGTATCCAAACGAGAAAAAAGAATAAATGGAGTAAAAATCCACAGTTCGTAGCATTTATTTTTTTTTAAAAGTGCTCAATACAAATTAGCGCAAAATATAATTATAATATTTTTATTATAATAAAAATTAAAATAAAAACATTTTACATGGCTACACAAAAACTTTCATGTTTCTGCACTAAGTTTGTACTTCTTCAGCCAATGGTAGATAACTAATGATAAATATGATTTATTAGGGAAATTTTAAAAAAAAAAACAATTCTTTTCACCTTTTCGTAAGTTAGTGCTGAGGCATAAGGTCAGAATGAAAAATATAGTAATGGGCATGTCGAGATTAACCAATGAACGTCACGTCTATATTAACATATTAAAATAAAGTCAGAGGGGGAGGGGTTATTATTACATGTCAAGTAGGCTGAGGCTGAGATATGTCATTAACGATACGCGGGGACAATTACCGTGACGAAAGTATTATTGGTGTATCCAAATATTATTTGGCAATTTGTTGTAGTAGACATAAATTTATCAGAAACGGATTTTTTTTTAAATTTAAACTAGAATTATTTGTTCACGTGAACTCCCGTTATGTATAGAGGAAAGTAAATAAATTTCACAAACCAAAAACTACCCTCCCTAAAATTAAGCACGGTGGTGGGAGCATTTTGCTTTGGTGTTGTTTTGAAACTTCTGGACCCGAACTATTAAGTGTACAGGGAATCATGGGTAAACAGCAGTATTTGGCTATTTTTAAAAAAGTAATATAAAACAAAGTGCACGACAATATGACAATAGCCCGAAACAGACGGTACGAATTGTTATAAAAGATTTAGATGACATCAAAATTAAAGTATTGCCGTTACTCTGCACAAAGACCCGACCTAAGCACCATTGAAAACATACGGCCATATTTGAAGGCAATAGAAATAGAAAGAAACCCGTTAATTTGAAAGAACTAGAGGCTCTTGATATGGAAGGATGGAGCAAAATATTTATCAGTGTGTGTAGCAATCTTGTAACCATAAATCAGAAACGATAGCAATAATCAAGAATAAAGGTTACACAATTGACTATTGAGGTAAAAAGGCGAATAATATTGTCCTTTGTTAATTTTTTTGTGATTTTGTATTATTGTTTCATATTAAAATAACTTTTTTGTTGTGGAAATCACTGCACATTTTTCAAATCAATTATTTCATCATTTGTAAAAAGATGTACATGAAGTTTCCATGAAAATCTGAGGTAATACAGATTTTTTTATAATTATTGTTACAGTTTTTTGGATATGTATGTACTAGTGAGCCAGTCAAAATGAGCTGACTCCTTTTATAGTTCACTAATAGGAGGGTTAACCAATCTTTATATATATATATATATATATATATATATATATATATATATATATATATATATATATATAATATCAATTGTTAATTGGTAGTCATAACTCCAAGGATGACATTAATCCAAAGGGCGCTCAAAGAGCAATACAATAATAAGTTAAGAAAATCCTAAAAATCTATCCCGGTTATAATTTATTTCATTAATATATTTAAATATTCCTCTCTTCAGACCGAAGGTTTTTTTAGAAATGAAATCAATCTGTCCGGACAGACAGAAAAAAAGGAAGAGAGAAAAAAAAAAGAAAGAAAAAATAAATAATAAAAATGTGAGAAAGAAAAAGTAAGAATTTCAATATTTAATATTTTTTAAATTTTGGGGAGAAAGAAAGAGAGAGAGGGGAAGAGAGGGGAAGAGAGAGCGATAGATTTTAAAAAAAGGAAGAAATAAATGATGTGCCAATAGGTTGACCTAGAAACATTTTTTCCTTAAAGACCAGAACAAGTTAATATACTGGGTAAGGTAGGAAGTGAGCAGAATTAAAAGAGTTACAGTAATATGTCTAATCGTCATGTCATTTTAGACAGCAAATTTCATTATCGCATTAAAAGAATCATTACGATTTCAAATTAATAACGACAATGGCAATAATAATAATAATAATAATATATATATATATATATATATATATATATATATATATATATATATATATATATTTACATTATTCGGACTATTGTCCTCATCCTTGTCGCCATATTTATCACAACGTTTCGGCCGTTGAGGACAATAGTCCGAATAATGTAAATAATGTACATAAGACCTTATCTCAGAAATGTAGACATATATATATATATATATATATATATATATATATATATATATATATATATATATATATAATTCGGCATTTTGACTTAAAGCGTTATTATTGTGGAAAACTTCACCTCTTGACTCCGTTCTGCAGAGCACTATTTTCCATATTAATATAAGAACATTTCGCCATTCGGATATTTTTCTTCTCGAATAATCCATATCTGCTCATTCTCTTTGTCTAGAACAAAAATAAATAGATATGCATCTATCTATCTATATATATATATATATATATATATATATATATATGAATAAAAAACTGGAATATTTCTTGTGACGCGTTTCATCCGTTTGTTGATATATAAAATTATACATCGTTATATATATATATATATATATATATATATATATATATATATATATATATATATATATATATATATATATATATATATATATATATATATATATATATATATATATATATATATATATATATATATATATATATATATATATATATATAGTAAATAGCTGATACTCCCAGAGGAGTAGACGTACATGTCCGCCTGTGAAATTCAAGAGTCGGGATGCAGAAGTATATTTCATTTTGATGAAAGGGATTCCTCGGGGAGCACAAACCACCCTCAATGATTTTTTTTTCCTTTTGATATAAATTAAATTTAGATTTAAACAAGGAAATGATTCCTATCCAAAATCTAGAAGGAGAAAACCAGAAGATGGAGGTCACATCGGGAAGATCATTGAGTAATACTGAAAGGCATCATTTTTCTCCACAAATTATAACAACGATTTAAAATCAATCATAATTTTCTTACAAAAATATTTGAGACTCAGCGTGTAAATTAAGCTGCTCTCTCTCTCTCTCTCTCTCTCTCTCTCTCTCTCTCTCTCTCTCTCTTTTAGTAATAAAGATGGTTCCCATAAGACTTACAGATTCGATTCCTTTCGGTGAGTGCATATTTTCTACGAAATGTTAGGCCGGCAAATGTTATGCAATACTGCTTAAGTAAAAGCAGATCTTTTACATAAATAAATTATATCTATAAAATGACGTATCAAAAAAAAAAAAAAACACAGACACACGCACATTCATGGATGTGTGCCTAACGTTTGAAATTCATAATTTGTAATTCACGATAGCGGTCATAAGCTCTTGCTAAAAATATGAGCGCGCAGCTGCACATATGTGTTTGTAAACACAAGTGCGCATGCGTCCACGTCCTTCTTCGCTGCTTGTGGCCTGACGCAAGAAAGGAGAAGGGAAGTACCTCACTTGATTATAGTTTCCTCTCATGCCTTAAACACAACAGACATCATCTTTTGTCCACAGATGATGAAGAAGAAGCCGGCAGTTAGCGATGGCCAAAGTGGTTGCTAATCCAACCACTATTGAATTCGGAATAACGCATGAACAATGAATAGATCGCCTGATTGTTCTAATTAGGGACAAAGAAGGTTCGGAATAATTATTTAAAAAAAAAAACGAATTGTATTATGTGCTAGGAAGGCTGGGCAGGTTGGATAGTAGGAGTAAGCGGTCAAAATGGTTGAGTCAATGTCCCTTGAAGGTAAAGATGAGGTCAGGAGCATGTGGTAATTGTGGGGAATAATTAGATCCCAAATCTGAAAACAGAGTCTTTTTTTTTTAAATTTATGTTTGAAACTTCATCTCTCGAATCACGAACAAAATTTTCGTAGAGGCGTCATTCTTTATCGATTTTTTTCCTTGCTGTCCTCTCTCTTTCTCTCTCTCAATCTATCTATCTATCTGTCTATCGTCTGTTCATAACTATATCTATCTATCTATCTATCTATCTATCTATCTATCTATCTATCTACGCACGTACTGGTATATACATACACACGTACGTGTAAACACACACACACACACATAAATAAGTAAGATAAAATCGACCCAACACCAATAAAAGAAGGCATAATTCTTTTTAAATTTAATATAAAAATAATGAAAATGAGAAAATTGACAAAGAATTGCGTATGATTCTCATCAGTGAACCGGACGATTGCCAAAAGGTTCGTTTACGAAACTCTCGAGTCGAGTTGCTGAATATAACAGCTAAGTGATAAATTTTATATTTCTATTAATCAGATGTATTGAATCCGAATTTTATATATATATATATATATATATATATATATGTGTGTGTGTGTGTGTGTGTGTGTGTGTGTGTGTGTGTGTGTGCATAAAATTCTTATAGAAATAAAATATACCTTTAAAAGGATAGTATTGATATTGAGAAAAGAAAACTTTCTTTACCAACGCGATTTGTCCTCTGGTAGCAAATGCCATATTTGCGTGTGTAGACGGGATAATTAAAATAAGAAATTTTTTTAAAATATTTCTTGGATGTAAAACATTGTTTTCATTTCTGAATTTACTGAGTGAAGAAATTGTCCAAATGTTTTTTTTTTTTCATCCGCGATGTATTTAGTCGTTCCTTTTAAGATTTTTCAAAGATTTATTCCTACTACTATCGTAGATGGGGTATGCATTGCAGAGTCTTTATATATATATATATATATATATATATATATATATATATATAGATAACAAAACCCTCGAATTTTTGATTTGCTAATCAAATCAATCTCGAGGAAAAAAAGTTTTAAAAAAAAAAAGAGCTACAAACATGAACTTCTGTCGACAAAAAATCGCACAGATGCAGGTCTGAAAACCCAAAGAAAAAACCCAATACGAGTAAACAAAAGCGCTCAATACAACCGTAGAAACAGACCTAGATACACCTAGTGAGCCAGACAAACCTGGTTTGTCTGGCTCACTAAATGTATATATATATATATATATATATATATATATATATATATATATATATATATATATTTCTAAGTGAACCAAAACACATAAAACAGACATTAGTAAACAAACACTTTAAAAGCTAAGCCACTGTTACACAAATAAAATACACGACACTAGTAATAAAAATAACACACAGCAAAATATCAGCATATTTTCGTACAACCAGATATACAATAATTATAAGCAGGACGAATTCGCTATACGAAGAATCATTAAACACTGTATTTCTGTAGTTAATATATATATGTATATATATTACAGAAAATGGTAAACCACAAAAGCTAATTGTCAATAATAATCCCATCAAAACTAAATTAGTGATAACAAGGATAGTGTATCCATTTAACTAACTGCCCAGTACAAGAATGTTATTCTTGTCACAAATCAATTACTTATATTGGACATACTACTACCCCCTTGAGTAGACGCCTCACATGTCACTTATCAATTCAAAGTGCTATAAAAACATCTATCAACTCGCAATTTTCAAGAAGTCTTTAGGAAAATTCTGGTCGAAAACACTAAAATTATATATAAATCAAAATACCTGAAATATCTCGCTGTTAGAGAAGAACTAGCATATCAAACATCACTCTCCAACTATCAACCTCACCTTATTTATTAGTGGAAATGGTGTCTTAAAAGTTGTTGTTTTTGGGTTTTTAAAAAAAAAATGCTCACGCAAATTAAAGCCGCACTAAACACGTGAAGGTGGGAAATGAACACTGGTATTCAAAACAAGAAAAAAGTAAAATGCAACTTAAACAACCAAAAAGTTAGGATAAACTAACAATACCAAAAAAAAAAAACCCCAAAAAACTCCCACTTGAAAAGGACTAAAGAAGTGGCCAAAAGTTTTTGGGACAATGAAAATTATGAAAAATTTCAATATTTCCTTACTCTTACAAAATGGGAAAATGTAAGGACAATTCTACCATCTCTCTCTCTCTATCTATCTATCTATCTTTATATATATATATATATATATATATATATATATATATATATATATATATATATATATATATATATACCTATGTAGTGCAACTTAAAGTTTCATGGTTTCCCAAGACGACTTGCGCAACCATGAAACTTCAAGTTGCAATACTAACGTATATATATATATATATATATATATATATATATATACTTCATAGGTCTCTTTAATTACATTGAACACTGTTTTGTTTGCACCATAAATTAAATAAATTAAATATTTATCTGCTTATCTGCGTATGCGAGCTATCGCACGCATATACAGTTGCTAATATCTCATTATTTAGTTTATATTCACTCTTTTTAGAGTAGTGGTAGATTTTGAAAGTAGATTTAGTGACTGAGCTAGGGAAGGAATTAGTATGTTTAATGTGGTTATAAAATAAGCGCATTTTGTTGTTACATGGTTGGGAAAATCCTGTTGTTTTTTTTTTTTTTTGGTCTATTACGGTTTACCTTATCATCTGAAATGTGGTTATTACCTATAATTTCCTTAAGGTTCTTAGGTCTATGATATGCTAGAAGGCCGGGTTCCTGAAACGAAATTTTTAGGTCTGGTTTGAGATGTAGTATTTCCTAGCGACTTTTGATTATCGGAGACAGTGGAAGAAGAATGGTGTTGAAAGTGTTTATGAGAGGGATGCGTCTGGATTTAATTTTACACATTCGGGTATCTTGTCTCGCTATGGAAATTGCTTTATTTATTTGTTCCTTGATAAATAGCATGATTTATGGAGTTATATATTAATTCTATGTTGTTAAATTTGTGGTTGAATTAATAGATAGATAGATAGATAGATAGAGAGAGAGAGAGAGAGAGAGAGAGAGAGAGAGATAAATGAACAGATTGAGAAAGAAAGAAAGAAATGAACAGATAGATAGATAGACAGACAGATAGATAGAGAGAGAGAGAGAGAGTGAGTGAGTGAGAAATATAAATGAACAGATTGAGAAAGAAAGAAAGAAATGAACAGATAGAGAGAGAGAGAGAGAGAGAGATAAATGAACATATTGAGAAAAAAAGAAAAAAATGGACAGAGAGATAGATAGACAGATAGATAGATAGATAGATAGAGAGAGTGAGAGAGATAAATGAACAGATTGAGAAAGAAAGAAATGAACAGATAGATAGATAGACAGACAGATAGATAGAGAGAGAGAGAGAGTGAGTGAGTGAGAAATATAAATGAACAGATTGAGAAAGAAAGAAAGAAATGAACAGATAGAGAGAGAGAGAGAGATAAATGAACATATTGAGAAAAAAAGAAAGAAATGGACAGAGAGATAGATAGACAGATAGATAGATAGAGAGAGTGAGAGAGATAAATGAACAGATTGAGAAAGAAAGAAATGAACAGATAGATAGATAGACAGACAGGCAGATAGATAGATAGATAGATAGATAGATAGAGAGAGAGAGAGATAGAGATAGAGAGAGAGAGAGAGAAATGTAAATGAGCAGATTGAGAAAGATTGAAAGAAATGAACAGATAGATATATAGAGAGAGATAAATGAACAGATTGAGAAAAAAAGAAAGAAAGAAAGAATGAAAGAATGAAAGAAAGAAAAAAAGAAAAAAAATGAACATATAGATTGATAGATAGAGAGAACGAGTGAGAGATAAATGAACAAATTGAGAAAGAAAGAAAGAAAGAAAGAAATGAACAGATAGATAGATAGATAGATAGATATATAGATAGATAGCACAAGTGAGCTACCGTCAGACCCCCTACGCTCCACCCAACTGAGCTACAGAGTAACAGCTAGTTAGTCTCAGCCCCAAAAAATGTACCTTTAGACGAAGCTTCTCTTGTCGCAGATAAATTTGCGCTTCCAGCAGGATTCGAACCTCATTGGACTTTGGACATCGTATTTTCACGATAATTTTATGCACTTTAGGTTCTTTTCTTATGGACTGTTTAGCGACCGTTTAATTATTTCATAAAGAGAGAAACTAATGAATGATTGGCGAAATACAAGGACGAAATAAAGAAAGAAAAAAGAAAGAAATCTACCTACTCACAAGAAAATAATTAGCGTAGATTTAATATAGTGAAAGAAAGAAAGGATAAAAGAATACTGAAAATGAAAGAAAGAAAATGAAAGAGAGTGGAGAAGAAAAAATGCCTGAAGGAAAAGAATGATTACAAAGCAAAATAATAACAGAAAAGAAGTATGGCTGCCATATATCGTCTGGTGCCACCGCTGTACGTCTCGAGGTCCACGACAAAAAAAGCAGAGACGAATATGCAATCCGATATGTCTTGATCTGGCATCTCGTTTACAGTCGGTCTCTCACAGACGTGCCGTGGCTTCCCTCTGTCTCTTCTACAAGTAATTTCACGACAACTGCTGCGACGAGCTACTTTCGCTGGTTCATTTAATCGAGCTACTAACTTGGTCCCACCCTTTTCATTGTCGAAATGGTTAAATGTAGCCGTCTCTTCTACTCAAACAGCTTCTTCTCTCGCACTCCCCGCCTGTGGAACTCCCTTCCTCTTGCTTGCTTCTCAGATGACTACGATCTTCAAATATTCAAGTGTAATGTCAATCGACATCTTCTGATACTTTGATCTTGTCCCCCGTTCTTCTCTGTATCCTTTCCTCAAGCCCGCCTCTTTACTCTTGATCTCAATCCCCTGTAACCCCTTGCGTGCTAATGGCACTCCCGCCTTGCTTGGGGTGAATTGCTTAAGAAAAAAGAAAGAACATAAAAATAGAAAGTATAAATTTCAAAAAGAAAAATATGGAACGATTTAATGAATAAAAGATAGAAAATATTAAGTGCAAAATGAAATAAAATACACAAAGAAAAAAGAAAATGATTTGGTAAGAAAGAAAGAAAGAAAGAAAGAAAGAAAGAAAAAGAAATTAAATTTTCGAAATAATTTATATTAGTATAAAACTTATTATATAAGTATTAAAACATATTATATAAGTAATAAAACATATTATATAAGTATTAAAACATATTATGTAAGTATAAAACAAAATAATGACAATAAAACGAGAAAATTAGGAGACGACCACGGAATTATAAAAGAAAGAAAGAAAGAAAGAAAACTACAAGAAACAGACATTAATTTATATGGAAAGAAAGAAAGAAAGAAAGAAAGAAAGAAAGAAAGAAAGAAATTAATATGTTTGGAGAAAGAAAGAAAAAATAAGCACAGAAAGAAAGAAACATTAATAAATAAATAAATAGCGAAAGAAAAGACAGAAAGAAAAAAGAAAGTGTGAAAAACAGGAGAACGAAAGCAAAAAAGAAAGAAAGAAATTAAAATTCAGAAGACCTTTACATAATTATAAAACGGAGAATTAAACTGGAGACCTTTACGTATCTATAAAAGAAAGAAAGAATGGAAAAATGAAAGAAAGAAAAACATACAAAAACTTTATATAAGTCTAAAAAAACAAAGAAACAAAAAAAAGAAAGAAAGAAGGAAAGAAATTAAATTTTAGGAGACCTTTCTTTAAGTCTCAAAAGATAGAAATAAAGAAAGAAAGAGAAAAATCCTCAATAAAATTAAAAAGACAACGACAATGTCAAGAAAACTTCGCTCGAAAGAGTTGTGTTGAACAGTGAGAAAGGAAGTAAAGAAACAAAAAAATAACCCTTTCAAATTGTGAAAACGAGACAGAAAAAAGAAAAGGAACGAAATGAAAAGAAGTGAAGACTGAAGCGGTAGAGAGAGAGAGAGAGAGAGAGAGGAAGAAAAGAAATCCACATAGCAGCAAAGAATAGAGTTTAATTACAAAAAAGTATCACAGCGGATATTGCGAGGAATATTTCGTGCGCCGTGAATTATATTGCTACTTTCACTCACAATCTCAGCACAATGGCGGATGATGACTGTCCAGTTTTATTCTATGAGCAATACACAACCCTAACCCTAACCCTAACTCATTACAAGCATTAGTTTGAATTGACCCGGCCCTAGCAAATAATAGTGGCAAAATGGTGATTTGGGGAATGTTCTCGTAGACCGTCGTTTGCTTCTGAAAACACAGGCATATAGAAATACACACACACACACATATATATATATATATATATATATATATATATATATATATATATATATATATATATATAGATAGATAGATAGATAGATAGATAGATAGATAGATAATATTAGAGGTAAATATACACATACATATGCAAAATATATCAATATATATAGATACATGCATACACATACATATATATTTTTTGAATAAAAAAAAAAAAAAATTCTACGAGGATAGAATCCAGGTAGAACACAATGTCCAGGACAGAGTACGGATATAATAAAAAGGCTTAAACACTAATATTCCATGATCATAATTTATTCCATTGGAATCGTTAATACGATCCAATTCATCAGACCTACAAATTCGAAGGTCTGATGAATTGGATCGTATTTCGATTCCAATTCAATTCAAATATTAGGTTTAAGTCTTTTATTTATATATATATATATATATATATATATATATATATATATATATATATATATATATATAGATGGATAATATTAGTGGTAAATATACATATATATATGCAATCATATATCTAAAATATATAAATATATATACATACATACATACATACCCATAGATATATATTTGTGTAAAAAAAAATCCAAGAGGATAGAATCCAGGTAGAAATCAATGTCCAGGACAGAGTACGGATATAATAAAAAGGCTTAAACATTAATAAGCCTTTTTTATTATTATATATATATATATATATATATATATATATATATATATATATATATATCATTATACCTTGACGGAAACCTTTTCGGCCAACACTGAAAACGTGGACGTTGGCGAATAGAAAAAAATAATGTCGACCCAATTGCTGAAATAGCGAATGAGTATAGGCAAACTGGAACACGATTAAAATATATTTTAATTCAACGATTAAAAGCAGATAATAAAATGTTCCCAAATAGTATAAAATAGAAAAAATACGCATATTCCCTTCAACAAACACAAGGAACGACGTAAGTGATCTTTCTGCTTACATAAACTAGGCTGATGAAATTTGATGTACACAGCCTCTAGAACGGTAATGTGGTAAACAGAGCGAGCTATGTAAAATAGTATGTAAAATTGTCTAATAAATGTTTTCCAAGGGTCGAGTCATGAACAGATTGCGTGGTTCTCAATTAACGACTCTGACTACTAGATCGTAAATAAGTAGGCACGTCTTGCGTAATGTGAGTTTCCAAACATTGCTTGGTCCTTCCTATATATACTGCATCACAATGGCATTTATATTTTTATAGAACAAAGTTATTCTGAAAACAGGATAACTGATCTTTATTAAAGGATGGAAACACCGATCTACACTATTTACATTATTCGGACTATTGTCCTCATCTTTGTCGCCATATTTATTACAAAGTTTCGGCCGTTGTACGCTCCGACCGAAACGTTGAAATAAATATGGCGACAAAGATGAGGACAATAGTCCGAATAATGTAAATAGTGTACATAATACCTCATCTCAGAAATATAGACACACACTGATCTAGTTTGAAAGACAGTACGCAACCTGTGTTATAGCAGGATGTAATGCCAGCCAAAACCTTGTTAGCAAAGAATTGGCAGTTCCTGCTTAACTATGGCAATTTAAAGTAAATTGTGCAATGTCTGAGTCCTAAAACAATAGGCTCTTTAAAACGTTTGATTTTACGTTCGGTAACACACTTAATGATATTAGTAGGACAAACATGTTCTAAAAAATATTCTGGATCCTTGCAATTTCTCCGTTTAGCATAATCGGAAAACTTATCATTAAAGTACAATTGACGAAGGTGGGAACTAGACCTGTTTTACGTGCCTTAGGAACGAAAGAATTCCAATGTGTATACAAGACTGTGAATGTAGTTTTTCGAAAAGGACTGGTGACAAATCACCATCCTTATGTTCAACGAGAACATCTAAAAAGCGCAACGGAATCCTTTATTCATCGTCAGGCGTATCTTTTCCTTATAAAATCAAAACAATTATTTCGTCTCCAAGTTTTTGGAAAAGATATGCCTGACGATGAATAAAGGATTATTCGAAAGTACTTGCATTTAAAAAATATATAAACTGGAAACAACAGACAATAGTTTTATAAATGAGGATCACATCATTCTATAGATTAACAGTATTTTAATGCATACATTATACACTACTAGCGATGGATGTCGCCAATAATAGCATTAATATTGCTGATTGATTCTATGCGTGATTATTTCTTTGTATATATATATATATATATATATATATATATATATATATATATATATATATATATATAATTGTAAATATAAAGTTATAAAGTTATCGAAGCCTGTTACGAAAATGGACGTTCAAGCAGAAATGCATTTCGCGCACTTCGAGATTTTTTTGGGTCAACATAATCGACCAAGCGAGATTGCAGTTGGAAACGATGTAACATTGTTGTGGAGAGGTTCAATTCCTGCGCGCGATGACAAATAGAGGTGTTTGGTTTTTCGGCCACATTCTCGTGCATTGCAGCAATGTTTACAACGAAACGGCGTAAACGAGCGCGCAATGGTGTTTTCACATTTGCCACCGACCCAGTTAGTTTGAATTTACGAACAATTTTTCCAGTTGCACTCTTGAAACTTGTTAACCTTTCCATGGTTGAAATTGCCAAAGACTTAAGTTGTTAAATCTGAAAGAAAAAAAAAATCATTAGACGCTTAAACTTAATTCACATTTAAAATCGCTCCAAGTTATTGAAACACACTTCATAAGCGAGCGAAGATTTAATTTTAAAGAACATATATTTTCTCACGACATTTTTACTCAACAAATGTTACACAAAGGAAACAAAATCACAAACTAAGAAGTCACGTTTATTTTGTGCACAGTATATGTCTTATTATTAATGAAAGATTCACAAGTATTTACAAAACACGGCCAATCTGTTTAAGATAATGCCCTACGCACACAAAACTGTAATCGAAATATCAGCCGATGCCGCAGCTGTTACCTTTATTCCCCACATTTTTTCCAGAAAAACAAACAAACACTTTCTTTGAAAAATATCCCAGACCCACTGTTTTCTGTAAAAAAAAGAAAAATGTTAATAACGTGCGCTTTGAGAAGCGAAAAATAATATTACATAAGTGTGTTAAAAGTAATAAAATGTACTTAGCTTTCTCAAACGCAGTTTCTTCGTCCAATAAACGCTGTAACAAAAAAAGAAGCAAAAAGAATGCGATAAACTGTTAGAATTTGGTTGGTCAACTTTAACGCTTGAAAAAACTAAACTACTCTGTATTAATCACCATAGAGATCATTCCCTGCCCAGCATTAGAATGCCTGATAGTCAACTTTTTGAGAGCAACTCCCTGCGTCTGCTCGGTCTCACGTTGACTGCTGACCTGATATGGAACAAATACATTGAGTCAATTGCCAGGAAATTTTTCTCCCCGGAATCGATACTTCAAATATACAAATCAACCATTCGCCCTTGCATGGAGTATTGCTGCCATATATGGTCTGGGGCACCTTTCGTTTACCTCGGAGTTCTTGACAAGATCCAGAGACGGATATGTAATGTAATTGGCCCTGATCTGGCGTCTCGTCTACAGTCACTCTCTCACAGACGCGCCGTCACCTCTCTTTGTCTTTTCTACAAATACTTTCATGGTAATTGCTCCGATGAGCTGCTTTCACTGGTTCCTTAAGGACACATGTCACAGTGACATTCATTAGACATGACACGTAGAACTAGAACAGTTTACCCCAGCGAGCGAAATAAAGGGTTGAGGAATCGGAGAGCTTTCTTTGAATTCCAGTCGAATCCATTATATTCACTTACTTGCTAATAACCTTGGTAATGGTATGAATCTTCTTCTCCCCCTAGCTATGGGTAAATAGCAGGACAGACCGGATTATAGAACCTTGGATGGCAACTGATCTACCGCAGGGAAAAAAAAATCTGCCTCGTCTGTCATGTATCTTTCGATACATGATTGCCTAAGCGTGTATCACGCATAGCATATAACTAACTGACAAATTATTCGTACGATTTGCACTGCCCCACCCAGGTATTGAACTTACAACCACTATGTCACCAAATTCACAAACCAACACGTTTACCTACTAAGCCTTTGTCTCGTAGCATTAAATACAAATATGAACTAGATGATATCCCTAGACATGACCAGTGGAATGAGAACCGTCTACCCTCGTAGATTTAATAAAGTGTTCAGTTAGGTATTAAATAAAGAGTCATATAAACCCAGGGAAGACAGAAGGAGACAACATTCCAAATCTTATTGTGACAGCAACAAAGATGAGGACAATAGTCCGAATATAAATAATGTAAATTAATATGCTCGATAAGGCGCCTGAACAGGGGTTTACCAAGCCACTTTAGGATAGAGGCTTACACGGATACGAGCAGCAAATTTAAGCATACGTGTATAATCTATGCGTGCTTCTATGCGCTCACCTGCTTGTAGAGGCGTGTGTGTAAATGCCACTTTGCACATAAGCTTTAATGGTTTATCTGTGTTTAAAAGGACGTCCTGAAAAAAATTCCCAGTCCAATTTAGAATTTTTTTTTTTTTTTTTGTTATACGGTCTGGGTTTTAGTTATTAGTGGGGCCCAGAACTTTTCATTACCCACTGTTGTATATAGAGAGAATTCTGGGGTGTTGTTTTTTATTATTATTATTATTATTTAAAGACTGTCTTTCGATAAGATAA